TGGAGATTTTGGCAAGTGACTAGATCAGGAGGCAGAGCCCACAGGAATGAAACTACGGCCCCTGTACAGAGGGCTGGAAGAGCTCGTTAGCCCGTTCTGCCATGTGAGGTTATGTGAGAAGACCATCAGGCTATGGAAGATGAGGGCTCTCACCAGACAATGACATTGCAGGCACTTTGATTTTAGATTTCTAAACTTCCAGAACTCTAGGACATATAATTTTCTTATTTAGCAGCCTAAGGTATTTTGTTAAAGCAGCTCAAAATGTCGAAGACAGAACACTGTTTCCATTAGAGATAGAAAATATAGACTTCTATTTTGATTAAAATGAGGATTTTCTATATATCTTAATTCTCAATGGAATCTTATAAATATATACATATAAAACATTTATATGTATGATTTGTTTTATATGTAGTATGGTTTCTTGTCTGTATTTTGGCAATATATAATGTATGTATATACAAGTATGTATCCATAATATACATATACAAACAATTGTTTTTAGGGGTAGGGAGCTGATAAGGATTTTAGAACATATTAGCAAGCTTGGATCGTTATTAATTTCTCACAGGTCTGTAATATTATTACACTGTTATTTATATAAAGTAATAAAAACACTTTAAATATGAACCAAAATAGAGTATTTTCTTGGAGCAACCGGTGCTGCCCTGGTCCTAAGTGAAGCATTTGCAGAGATGAGATATAAGCCCTGAAGCTATGGGTGGCCAACGCTTTGGTCCCAGATTCAGAGGAGAATATCTACTAGCTCCCGAGTTGAAACAACTGGATGAGAAAGGCTATCCTTGCAGCATAAAGCTCCTCTGCCCAAAAATATGTAGTACTCTGAGTCCACGGATTCTCCTAAATTCTGAACAGCAACACAAATTAGCAATCAGAGTTAACTAATGATAAAAAGACAAAGTATGACCATGGGAATATTTGTATGACATGGATTTTTAAAAATCATGTCATAAAAACTTCAAAGAAATTACTTCTCTACAGTAAAGTTGCTACTTGAAAAATAAGAAAACTTTAGAAACCAGACATTCTGTCTGCTTAAAGTGCTAAAATAGTATGTTACATTTAAAAGAAACAGCAAGATAAAAACATAAGTAAACAAAATCTGCCAGAAAATAAATATTCAATAGTAAAATGCATATTCATGTTTTAGAACAGTAAATTAGTGATAGACTATTTTGATAAACATGTCCATGTCCAGAATGCAGACTAAACTATGAAACAAAGAAATAACACAATATATTTTAGGATATACACATGGAAGATCCAAAAATGAGAATAGTAAGACAAGTTCAAAGAAAGTAAATAGAACAGGACTGCAATATAAGAACAGAGAATCTAATCTGGGAGTGGCAGTGTTGGTGAGATGTGAGACAATGTTCTAGTCACTGCACTAACGTTAATTTACCAATTTATCAGATTTGTGTTCTTTTGTTTTGTTTTGTTTGAGATAAATTCTGACTATGTAGCCCATGCTGGCCTTAAATTTGCAGTGATCTTCCTGCCTCTGTCCCCAGAGGGCTGGGATAACAGGAATGCACCGCCATGCCTGACTGCCATGCTGTTCTAACAATACAAATTACATGCATTTTGCCTTCTAGCTGGCACAGAATAACGAAGTGACATGGGGTAATGGCAGGGAGGTGTCATTGGGGAAATAAAGCAGCATAGAAGGATAGAAAGTGACAAACAGGTCCTGGCTACTTTGGAAAGAGGACCAGGGAATCCCCATGAGGAGGTAATTTTGAGCAGAGATCCGAATGAAGGCGGAGAGGGAATCTCTAGGTACATGTAGATAGGTGGGTATAGACTAGGAAGGTAGACACAAATGTAAATATTTTTGTACCCTGAAAGAATATAAATGAAAATTATCCTTTAAACATTTCCATTTGTAATCATAGAGTCATATAATGGAAAATTACATAAACCATGTAATTGAATTAACAATACTGAAACTTTTTGCACTCCATTGCAAAAGCCAATCTCTTCTCTCCTGCCCAAAATAATATCTATAGCATGATTTGAAGTTTTTCTTTAAACCTTTTTTTCTGACCATATGAATTCAATAACTATGTGAGGCAAATGTGACATACCAATTTGATAGTTTAGTATACATCTAACTTTAAAAGGTTTTCCACATACAACACAGTTTTATAGAATATGTGTAAAAACTCTGTGGTGACACTCACAAAAAAAGAAAAAAAAAAAAGCAGATCAAATCCTCCCGAGACACAAGCACAACTTTATATCCTGCAAATTAAATGTGTAAAACTTAATACATACACATCCTCCAAACAGTTTGCAGGCAATAAGATTGGAAATGATTCAAATGACTAAAGTAATTTTATGTGGATTGGCTTGTAAGTCACAAAAGGATAACTCTGTTCAGCCTGATTGCTTTGCCCATGGTACTGCTTCTGGTAAGGTAGATATCCCCATTCACCGTCCTGTCTGCCCCGATAGCAGTTATGCCACGCTCCGTTCCTAATGGTAAATTGCCTGGTACCTGTTGGCCTTTTATTTGTTCCTCTTCCCACCAGTAATTATGAGAACCTTTGCTTTACTCATCTTGATGCTCCATCCTTAACATAATGCTCAGCATTCATATGTTGATGAAGAATTTTACTGTCAATTTTGTGCAACCATGTTATTAAGTTGAGCAAGGTAAAGCCTGTCTTAGGCCAAACTAGTTCACAGCCTAGCTGGAGAGAGAAAATATACATGAACAATTAGTCTACAGTGACGATGTGACAATGCACTCAGGAACGTATATATCAGGCCTGAAGTCACATATGTGAGGAAGTAACTCTTGAGCTGAGTTGCTCAACAAGCATTAAGTGTTAACACCGCAGTGATGTGCCAGATGGCTAAAGAATGCAGGATTGAATAGAAAGAGTATTCACCTCCTCTCCAAAGATTTACAGCATGGAATTAATAGTTTGCATAAGAACTCACAGGTAGTAAATAAAAATAGCAAGGTTGATGGCCAGTTCGCTGAAGTGTTCTAATACTGAAGACTTCTCCACCAGAGGTAAGCAGGAGCTACTCCAGACAGCCCTCCTTTGATAATTATTCTGCCCCCACCCCCTCTTTCATGATCCTCAGACTTCCAGTGTGCTAGCAACTAAATACTCTTGAGCAAAGAATATTTTATATGCTATTCAGGGGGTACTTTGCTTGGGTTAAGGGGATTTTAAAAGTTGAAATAATATTGAAAAGTTGGTAAACAGTAATTAAAGACCAGAGTATGAAATTCTAGTTGGTGAAGACAGGAAAGGGAGTTGAAGAGAAGGGCAATGAAAATCCACTGAAAGATTTATTTATTCATTCATTCATTCATTCATTCATTCATTCATTTATTTGATACAAGGTCTTGCTATGTAGTTCTGGCTTTGAACTTACTATGTAGCCCAGGCAGGCCTTGAAATCGAGGCAACCCTCCTGCCTCAGCCTTCCAACTGCTGGGATTACAGGCATGCACCACCATGCTTGGCTTCCACTGAAAGATTTTAAGCAGATTTGCTTTTTCAAAATAATAACAACCATTGTTAATTCTTACCATCTTGTTTTGAAATCCCATATCTTTTTATTTCTTTGTGTGTTGCTTTGGTTTTGTCTTTGTTGCTATTTTGTTATTGTTTTTTCTCTTTAAAATAAAAAAATTTCTGACCAACGTTAGTATATAAGTGCTCACTGATGCTTGTTCAAAGAGTGATCATGGTGCTAATTATTTACAGTAACCAATGGTCTTGCTATGCATGCTTTTTGCTATTGCCCTTTCTGTTCCTGCTTGTTAATGAGATGGCACCCCCATTTGCACGATGGCTAGTTATTATCTGGGGTCTTGTCTGCTGATGAAACATAAGAGACTAAATGAGCAGACATAATTGATCCAGAGACTTTGTTTAAATCAACACAAATCTTTAACTAAAAAGAGGGGAAAGGAAGGCAGGCTTTGTAAATGCTACAGTCTTCTATGCAGGGAATCTGCTTCCTATTGTTACAAACTGCAGAACCTATTATTCTACTATTACTCCCCTTTGCAACTGGTGCTTTCAGTATTATAGTCTGGGACTCTGGTTGATATGGAGTGAGTTTTGTTTTCCACTTCACTTAGAATTTTTCATCAAATAGTGATTGGATGCTGATAAATAGGTTTACTCACCACCATGAAGAGGTCTGAAATCACTCAGAAGTTTTGAATTACAAAGGGCCAATAAAAAAGGTTTGATTATATGAAAGTACTGATAGAACTGGTTCTCCACTACTTTAATTCCTTATTTTTATAAGAGCTAATGTGTTTGTCATTCATGGTTGTACAATTAGAGGATAATTAAACATCTAAAACAAGGCCTGAACAAATCATTGTTTTATTTTAACATCACAGTTTGCTGTTCGTTCTAACCAGCAGTCATTGCACTGTAGATACTGTCAATTACACTACAGTTCTTATCACTATACATATGTTTTTACACGTACTGTCTTAATAGTTAATGGCAAGTTATTCTCTTTGAGTAATTTTCAAAATCATTTAGCACAAGGGCTAAAGTCAGAACTCAAATCAATAAAATATGTACAACAAATTACCTTTAATTCACCTCTTTCAAGACATTGGAGTGCTAATCAGTTGTAAAGAAGGGTGAATTTCAGTCATTTATAGGAAAATGAGTGTATCTTGAGAACATAGTGCTAAGTGAAATAAGCCAATCATGGAAGGCTATCTCATGGTTTCCCAGACCTAAAATATGAATAATTTAAAGGGCAAATAAAAGTGACATGTTACAAAATAGGGAGGTAGACTCAGTAGGGATGGGAAGACTTGGAGAAGGAGTAAGAGGAAAGGGGTGCTATGTATAGCAACTGCAGTAGTAATTTTTGTTTAAAGAGGACAGGTGCAATATGTTCATGTGCCCAAAGCTCTGCATATATTTTGTCCTGGCAATAAACAACAGGGCATTAAAACTTCACACAAAATCAGATGTCATTTACTACTGTTTAATATTTTTAATTTCCCCTTAAGAATACATGATATAACTGTGTCTCCCACAGCATCATAATGTGAGAGCTCTTCCCCTTTGCAGGTTCCTCTTCTGCACCCCTGCTCCTGTAGCGCCAGTGCCAGCAGCTCAGTTGCACCCGGAAGTCACTCCTCCTCACTCTGCATGGGTGAGCGCTCTGGGGGAAGAAAAGACTCCAATTTCTGCCAGCGCTCTGGAGGCCACAGGATATGTGTTGCGTGGGCATGCAGAAGTCCCAGGGACACCTGAAACAATGAGAAACACAGAGAAAAACAGCACAGCCATGATTTGTAAGGATCATCATTAATATGAAAATCAAATCTGATTCTGGTCTGACATGCCAGGGGAAGACAGAGGTGGTTAAAATCAGCAAATAGTTATGTACCCTTGTACAGGTGTTTTATATGTAAGCACATTTAATCCTTATAAGAACCACTTGAAGTAGGTTTATTGATTCCATTTCATAGATCACAAAACTAAGTCCAGAGAGGTTAAGGAATTTGCCAAAGCCATATAGCTACCAAGTGCTGAAGTCTGCTCTTAGCCTGTTTATATAGACCAGGAAGCATAAATCTAGTTCAGAGTTTGGTTTCAGAACTTCTTACAGAGTTCCTGTATCTTAGAGAAACTTCCTGTATGAAAAAACCCATACAGACCTAAAACTCATACACAAGTTTGTGAAAATTATGTAAATATGTAAAGGGACAAGGGGAGTTACCTCCTGGACGAGCAGCAAGAGTGAGTGGGTAGGTGGGGCTGGCTCCACAGACGGATAGTGCATGGAGTAACATGGAACCGGAACTCTCGGACAGAGGAGGAAACCAGGGCCAAGCCTGACAGCTGGGCTGGGAAGTGAGGGAAAAGTATAGAGAACATGGCAGGTGGGAAAGAACCTCATAAACAGAGATCTGTTAGGAGGCAAGAGAAGGTAAGGGGAAGAAACTCTTGCAGGAGGATTTAAGACTAAGTCCAGAGGTATAAAGGGACCCTTAAACATTTTAGTCTCTGAAGAAATCCGCTTTAGTGAGCAAGGGAATACGGCAGACTGGTGTAAGATGTAGATCAGAGCCCTACCTTCACAGATCACCTTTCAGTGGCCTGCAGTAGGGCCTGGAAGCCTGTGTTTTTCTTTTCCTTGTTACTGTTAATACCAGGCAATATTTTAATGGTATTTAGAAGCTTATAAGACTTCCTTATTTAGCACATATTTATGGAGTAGCAGATGAAATCAGATACCACATGTCCAGTTTATTTATAATTTATTTTCAAATGTTTTCCCCATATATTTTTCATATAAATACAAAATACTGCTTCTGTTAAAGCTCCTCCGTCTATCACCACATGCATTTAAAAAATCAGCTTACCCAGACAGTCAAAGCAGGAGCTAGACATCAGGGAGAGATTTCCATAGATAACCAGAAAATCATTGCGGGTTTGGGGAGTTTAAAGGGGGGTGACCTTAACAAATTGAAATACAAACCAAATAAACTCAAAGAGTAGTAAAAATCCCCTGGGGCTTGATAAAAGATTTCTTCTTCAATGTATTTTGAAAATCAAACTTATAGAAAATTCTAAAGTATGTTGCCAACCAGTTCCACTGACCAAAAGCCAAACAATTATTGACGTTTGGTCGCATTCATTTCTTTCATTGAATGTTTACATATGCATACATACAGGTATATTTTTTCTGAGCTACTTGAAAATTATTGATAGAATGCTGAATTTGCCCCTAAATATTTCAATATGCATCTCTTACAAACTAAGATCCTTTTCTATATGAACCCAATATTATTATTATATTATGCAAGATATTTAATATTAATACATCAGTATTACTTCATATACAGTTGTCTTGGTTACTTTTTTCTTGTTGCTTTTTCTCGTTGCAGGACAAAATATCTGACGCCAAAAATTAAGGAAGGAAAGGTTTATTTCGCTTACAGTTTGTGGAGGTTTCAGTCCATATTTGGCAGATTATAAGGCAGACTGGCACATAGCAGAGAGCTACAGCTCATGGCGGCAGACAACAGCTAAGCAACCAGCATACACCAGGGCAGAATGGGGGAGGAATGGCCTCAAGCACTCTTTTCCTCTCCCTTACATATGCAAACTATCCACCCCTGGGTGGGTGTAGCTCTCACACCCATATTCAAACTCTAAAAGCCTGCCCCATGGCCACTTGAGGCTTTGGGGGGACACACAGACATAAACCATAACAACAGTCCACATTCAAAATTTTCCAATTGTCCCAACAATGTCTTTTTTGGCTATTTTAATTTTTAAATTCACAATGCAATCAAAGATCACAAATTGCATTTGGTGGTCATTAGTTTATTTCCATTTCCACTTAGTTTATTTGAACCTGGTGTCCAAGACAGTTGTCCCACAAAATGTACCATCTCTAGAATTGCCTGATTCATTTATTTCACACATAGATGCAAGATAAATGTTTTGGCAAGAATAAAATATACTTGATATTGTATTTTTCCTTTCTGTCATACTGGGGGACACAAAATGCCAGTTTGTTCCACCGTTGTAATGCTAAGTTTGGTAGTGTGACAAAGGTGACGGAGAATAGATTTCACCATTCATAAACACACCTTTTTACTTCTGTAATTAATAAACAATCTGTGGGATATTCTGAAATGTTAACAGCATTTCACCTCTCAGTTTTATCATGCAGATGGTTCTGTCTTAATTAGCCCTTACCTGGGGGGTTACAAAAACAGTGCTTTTTCTCCATATTTCTTTTATATTTATTAGCTCACATTCCTCTCTAAAAAAAAGTGCTTTCTCTTTCTCAACCCCAAGTACTTGTATTTTAATACTGAGCATTTCTTTTTTAAGTCAAAGTCTATTATTCGCTTTTTTATGTTGGATGCTCAATGTGCTTACCTCGTACCTTGTGACCATTTCACCTGGAGTCAGATATGTCCTTAAAGTATCTTATTCTCTTTTAGCAAGACATATCACTTAGAAAACAAAGTCTGCTACTAGATGTGCGATTGCTCCTGGCTATCAATATTCTACACATCTCAGAGAATAAACAGTACCCAGAGGCCATCCCTCATCGCCTCCATTCTGTATTTTCTTTCCTTTGCCCATACTAAGCTCCCTGAAACACTAACACATTCATTCTTTTATATATTCCTCACACACACACATACACATTAGTTTTAGGATCAAGATAACCACTACCTCAAATAAATTTACTGAGCAAAAATCAAGATTTCTTGGCAATTATTGTGGCCTTTTTATTAGTCTGTTTTGTGTTCGCAGTAACTGAACAACAAAGACTGGTGAGTTATAAAGGGGTTTGTTTCAGCGCATGGTTCTGGAGGTGCACAGCTGAGGAGACACATCTCGTGACCACTGTCCTGGGGGCAGAGTCCTGCTGTGGCAGAGGACATGACAGAAAGACAGCATTGCATGTGCATATGTGACTGACTGGTCTTATAAAGTCGCTGGAATTCTGTCATGGAGAGTTGACCCTCATGACTCCAATCCTAATTGTCCCTGAAAGACTCCCCCTCCGTTCACCACAGTGAGATTAATCCAGTGGACCTTAAACTCCAGCATGAGAAGCAGAGGGGATCAGCAATTTTCAGACGCCAGCAGTTCTTAAAAGACCTCTCATTGTAAGGAGTATAGCAGAGTCCTATGATCCAAGTTAGTTAATTAGAATCAATTCCTTTTTTTTTTCTCTCCAACTTAAGAGGATGCTACTATTTCATATAGAGGTTCTATTGGTTTCTATTTATATTGTTTTAGACTTTGCTTTTGTTACTTTGTTTGATTCAGTATTATTCTCAAATGGATAAACATTTGCGTGGTTCCAAAGTAAACATTATTTGAAAAAGTGTACTAGCCACAATAATGCCTCTTCCCCAAATGCCCACATTCTAACTGCCAGAAGTTGTGACTATTACAAAGCAAAGGGGAATTGAGGTTGCTCATCCGCTGACATTAATGGGAATATCCTGCATGATAAAAGGGACCCAAATTTCAGCACAACGGTCCTCACATGTGAAAGGTAGATAGAATATATTCTAGAACATTCTAAGCACCCATGCTAATAATGTAAATGGACAGGAGATTTCTCTAGGTCTGAATGGTCTTTTCCAGGACCACTGTATTCTTCATCTAGGTTTATTTTAATTTGGGCTCAACTGAATATGACATCACTTGGCCTCAATCTCCTCTACAATAACTCTTTTTAGATTTGATAACTGCTACTCAGTTTCACCTCCAGCCTTTGCTTGTTTTTCCCAAGTTAACTCTTTTCATAAGGATGATTTGCCAATCCTTTAACTTAGCAGGACTCTTGCCAATGTTTGCTTGCTTGCTTAGTTTCAGAGATCAGTTTTGGACTCAGCGATCTAATTCTGTTTTTTTAATCACACTTCTTTTCCTGAAACTAATTTATGGTTCTTTTATTCCAAACATTTATTAAAGATATTACTCTTGCTTCCTGAAAAACATAATCTTCAAAATTATGAATAATGATGAAAGGTCTATCAGATGGATAATATCAATACTTTTTATAAACATGATGTGAAATTGCAAAATCCAGTTTTATTCAAACTACTGAGACTAATAATAGAGAAAAGAGCCTAATCACTAACTTCGTTATCTTGTCATGGATGTTTATTTTTTGTTCATAGGTCTATAGACATGCAAAGACTATAGTGACTATAAAAGGATATGAAAATCCAGAAATATATGAACAGTTTTGAATTAAAAGTTATGCTACAAGGATAGCTTTGACTTCCACACCTGGAGTATTAATTAGGGTTCTCCAGAAAAGCAGAACAGGATGCGTGTATATAAGGAGATTTATTTTAAGGAATTAGCACATGTGATTGTCAAGGCTTGGCAACTTCCACAATCTGAGGGGGAAGGCTGGCAGAGGAAAGACCCAGGGAAAACATGCAGTTTGAGTCCGAAGGCCATCTATGGGTGAACCAGGAAGAGTTGAGCTGTAGATGAGATGCCAGGCTTTCTGTGGGTTCACTCCTTCTTGCTCAGAGAGAGCCAGCCTCCTGCTCTATCCACAGCTTCCACTCATTAGAGGAGGCATACCCACATTACAGGACAATTTGTTTTACTCAGCACTCATTGATGTAAATGTCTCATCCCAAAACACTCTCAGAAACATCCAGAATGTTTGACCAAATATCTGGACACCGTGGCCCAGCCAAATTGACATAAAATTAATCGTCCTCTTTAACAAGTATCCTCCTCC